TGCAGTACATGGTGCAGTACATGGTTCAGTACATGGTTCAGTACATGTGTAGTTTCTGATGATTTGCAACAACCTTCATTCACCGCTAGATGGCGGCAGAGCCGGAAGACTCCCGCTGATGTTTCTCTTTTTAGAGTTTATGACCTAAATATTAGGAGAAAATTGTAGTTTGGAAGTGTAACTGCGATTCATTTGCTCAATTATCTAATTAGGCTAAGGTAAAACTCACTTAATGTTTTAAATTATTATAATGTTTACTGTTTTAGTCTAGGATGCTAAATAGCTAAAAAAAAAAAAAGGAGGACAAGTTAGATGCATAAAAGGTGGTGGACGGTAGTTTAGGAGATGAGAAGTGTTACGTAGGACACGAATTGGGATTTAATGGAGCTCAAATATTAATACAGTACATATCTACATTTATTTTTATTATTTATTTTTTCGATTTAACTCTTCAAAGACGCTGGGTTTGCTGCGGAGAGATTATTGGTCAGACAGACGCACCTGCGCAACTTTGTTGTTTTATTTAAAAGAAAATGCCATAAAAACAACATGTTTGTATAATACTGCACTCACTTTGACGCACCTGTTCAGTTGTCCTGTTCACAAGATGATCGCTGTCCTAACTGATGCGCGGAGACCAGATGTCCCCGAGCTGTTGTGGCCCTACGCGCAAGAAAGTAGTCCGTGCGGTAATAAAAGACGAGCTTCAACGGAGACGGTGGCGCCTTGGTCCCTGCAAAGTTCACCCAGTAGGTGAGTAACCTTTAAGAGATTACAAACAACCCAGACAGAAGATTAAACACTTTTATATTTATTTCCTGCTGCTATAATTTGTTGTCTCTCATTTAAATAGTTGTAATGCCCACAGTTGTGTATTTTAAGCTGGAAACTTATACAAACTGCTATTTGAGGTAATAAAATCACAGTTTTGGCTGTGTTTTTATGACACCGCTCTTTTCAGCTCATATGTTTAATCACATATCTCTACACACACAATGAATCCATTGAATTATTGCTCTGTGACCAACTAAAACAATTTTTTTGGGTCATAATTGCACCTTAGCACCTTAAATATCCAGTTTAAATTTTATGTGTAGAACATCTTCGTCCTTCGTCAGAAGAGATCATTTCATCTACTTCTGCTGCTCATAAAATAAAGCTTGAACTCTGAAGAGTGCAGTCAAGTCGATGAATAATTATTGCCTTTCACACAAGCTGGTCTGTATAAGCTTGTATTTACTGTCTGCAATGAAAAAGGCTAAAGTTATTTATGACATTGTCACGCAGGTGTTACGGTGCATTTACCTGTTCATTTAAATGTAAAAGCCATTATGGTACTCTGTTTCAGTCAATATATGCACGTGGATATTTCTCTCATGCACTCATGATCTCAGCATGGAATGTATATGCAAAATGCACTAAGTGTTGAAAACAAGAGTATTATAGTATTTGACTGTCTCCTCAGGTCTTTCCCTGCAGACTCAAATCCAGTCATGTCTAAGCCAAAAGAGAGCGGCTCTTCCATCATGCAGTCCCAGCAGATGCAGGCAGCCATGGCAGACACTCTCATTGAGCACATGTGTCTGCTGGACATCGACTCTGAGCCTGCTGAGTCTCGCAACACCGGCATCATCTGCACAATCGGTCAGACACGTTTAAAGGCCTTCCTGATCTTTACGTAACACGTTCATTTGTTAATGGATAGTTCAGACGTTTTAATGCTTACGAATAATTAATATCTTATATGTAAATAGCTTGTTTTGAAGATCCTCAGTTTGGAGAAACAGTTTAGTTTTGACCAAATTATCGAGCTAGTCTGAGTGGGTCTAAAACCAAAGTGGATTGCTGCCATCTTAGAACAACGATAACTCCACGTTTTCATGACGATTCCTCTGAACTCCATTTTTATTTGTCTTTCTGTAAATTCCACCTTACGTGGTTATTTACAAGCATTTATTGGCAAGTGCAGTTAGCAACAGCGGCAGCTAGCTGTAGCTCTTGTAGCGGGAGTATCACAACATTCTTTTAAAATTACCTTCTAAAGCAAACCTGACAACCATGTAAAGGTTTATAATATTATGTTGTACAAGAGCGGCTGTAAGAGTTTTTCAAACTGGAGTCACTTTAATTTGGCAGCAGTCCACTTTGGTCTTGGTGCAGATTGGACTAATACCCCAGAATGAAACTGTGCAAATTGAGCTCAACATCAAGTAAAATATACCTCATAACTTTTCACAGAACTTAATTTCAGAGAACCACAACTATCTCTGCGATAGAACTTGATTTAAAACGTTACGTTAACCCACATGTTCACTCGCTGGCTGCAGGTCCTGCGTCCCGATCTGTGGAGATGGCCAAAGAAATGATCAAGGCTGGGATGAACATTGCAAGAATGAACTTCTCTCACGGCACACACGAAGTGAGTGACAGATGATAAATATCAAAGGAGGGAATGGAACCGCAGCTATTTAAGAGAAAATACTTGCTGCGGCGTCTCAGCTGAGGTCATTTCAACAGTGCAACAGGCTAAAGAGCTAGCAGTGCGGTAGCTTGTTGGCTGTCTGCAAGTGATTCAGCGTAAATGTATCCTTTACAGTTGGGAGGATCAGCCAGGGTGACATTTCTCTTGTGGCCTTGTAACTGTCTGTAATGCGATCCTCGAGCTCGCAGTCGACCCTTCAGAACCGAGTCTGTGTCGTAGCTTGAAAGATCTTTGGCTGGTCAGTGGCTGACCTTAAAACGACGACCCT